TGACCTGAACTGTTTGCGACCTGAAACCTGTATGACCTTTCTATTACCTTTATGACCTTTCTGGCTGTGGCTGTGGGGTAGAGCAGTTGTCCTCCAAACAGAAGGTCAGCAGTTTAATCCCCAGTCTTCCCATCTGCAAGCCAAAGTGTCCTTGGGCAAGATGCTGAACGCGGAATGGCCCCATAGAACAAAAAAAAGTTCTAATAGATGCACTGTATGAATATGTGTGTGAATGGAAAACTGTAGTGTTAAGAGCTTTGAGTAGTCATCAAGAGTAGAAAAGCGCTACTGTATATAAATACAAACCATTTATCATTTCTATTACTTACTAACTGTCCAAAGGATTTTGCTTTATCTTCAAGGGAATCGTATGCAAATATGTTTCCTGTCCTAATTCCTGTCTGAAACTGCGCCTACAGAACCAGTCTGAACTGGCTCAGTCAAACAGCCTTAGTTCTCCTATATAAGATGGTTGCGTTTAACTGTTCTCCATCAGCACTCTGAGATCCCTGTGACTCTCTGTGTTGATCCTTCATTTTTCTGCATTGTCGAGAATTATAAATTATTCAGATCAAATTTGCTTTGAAGTAAATGTCAAGTAAGAGGGAATCCTGGAAAACCTGAGTAGTCTAAAGTGTCCAGAGCTTCTATTCCTCCATTTTTGTTTTAGACTCTATAAGTAAGTAGAGTTCTTTGATTAGTACTAAAAATGCTAAGTGGTTGTGTTGTGAGACGCACCAACTGTACCTGCTTTCATGCATAAGCGTACCTTTGCTTTTAGAGTTTCACTTTTAAACATACATCAATTTGTCTTTCATTTAATATAAATCACAAACTCCTCCCCTGAAGTGCTACAAATGAAGCAATGCTACAGTACTATATTGTTTTTATGGAAATTGAAAAGTATCTGTCTATCTATCTAACAGCAGAAAAGGCTACACATTTAGAGAACAGGGAAGTTTGCAGCACAAACTCTCCCTGTTTTTATGTACCATTTCACAGCAATAGTGCAAAAATGTAATTTGTTTTTAGCTTCACTTTGAAGTGTTAGGAAATCTTCATTTTTCATTAAAAAAAATCATAAAACACCAAACTCCTCCCTTTAAGCACAGGTAAACCACAGAACTCCTTTGCTTTTAGGTAAATGAAAAACTCCAATAAAAGAACAAGAGTAGAATAAATTCGAATTATATAAAATATTACAAAATAAAACTTAAAAACTGTACTGGTTCAGTATTCCATTCGACAGCAATGTGTACAAATGTGAAAAATACCTGTGTTTCACACTTTGGGTCGTCATTTTCTTTCATAAAATGTAAGTAATTTGCAAAGGCCACACAATTATATATATTGTTTTCAAGCAAATAACAGGATCAAGATTGAATAAAAATACCAAATACCTAACCCTAACCCTAATACCAGGCAAGATTAGAGCACAAACCTAAAACTCCATTGGACAGCTGTAGTGCAAAATTATCGAAGCCTACCTTTGTTTCACCAGTGCAGTTTTTTCATAAAATGTATCTCCCACCCAGTTCTGTTGTTCAAGTGCCACTGAAGTCTCAATGCACATGATGGTAAATGCTCTGTATTTATATAGCGCCTTTCTAGTCTTTATGACCACTCAAAGTATTTTACAGTTCATACTGTGCATCTATTAGCAGCACTCTTTTCTATGAGGGGCATTTCGGGGTTCAGCATCTTGGCATGGAGATGGGGAAGATTGGGATCGGCCGCTCTACCCCTCCGCCACAGCTGCCCCACTGTGGAGACACTGGGCTTTCCCAAGAACCTTGCCAGAGGTGATGTAGTCCATGTGGGTTTTCACGACAGCCTGTATTGCTTCTTTGGACGCACTTCTTTCTCTTGGTTTGTGATGACTTCATAAAATAAGACAGTAATTAGATTTTTTTCCAAAGCCTGACCTGCATCAACTTAACAAGAAATTAATTGAACAAATTGACCTGGCAAAATCTAAAAGCTCTTTTTCAGTGGAGGGTGGCAAACAGGGCTGTGGGAAAAGGCTTTAAGATGGGGGGTGCTGTAGTGGGAGGGGAAGGTTTTGCTTTGTTCAGCTTAGAGCTAAGAATAGGCGATAGCCATCTTCATATTTTCATACACATCATTTTTATTTAACGAGTTTCAGTGAAAACGTTTTCTGTGAAAATTCCATTCATGTCACATTCCAAAACAACAGGTTACTGTGATATGAATGTATGCAACAAACGTAGCCAAATAAATTTGTTAAGACAAAGTATCAAAGTGAAATTACTGTTTAATGATAATGTTAAATCACTGAGCCGCAGGTCATAATAAACCAAACACTTTACCTGGTTGCTTTAGTTGTAGTACTTCAAATTTGGCTTGTCCCTCAGTAGTTGTGGAGATAAAGCCCCTCAATCCAAATTTGTTTCTGTGCCATTGCGAGCTACTTTAAATGATGCAGCATTGCTGGCCAGGTACTGTACGTGACTTCCATTGACTATGATGCATTTCATTATACTTATTCAGTATTGAATTATTTCACAAAACGTCCCCAGGTAATCATTTCTCAAGTAAATAAGATCATGAGGATCTGGAAAAAAGTCAAAATATTATAATGTTTTTATACATCTTCTGTGATATCTGCCTTTTAATACAGGGAGAGCTGCAGCACCCCCAGCACCCCTACTTCCCACGGCACTGGTGGCAACAATAATTTTGCTGATTAATCCAGTTTCTCTCAAGTATAGTACAAAAGCATTCGAATATGAAACATGATCACTGTAAGCAGTTTACACTGTATGTTTGCTTATTAGATGTAATGTTTTTTTTCTGTACTCTTATATGTCCCAATTTCAACCTTGTTATCACATTTTCATCACTTTAATCAGTTCTTGAATGTTTTTTTGCCATGTTATCGGTCTTTCATAACATTGCTCTATATTATTCCCTTTTTACACATCTTCCTGTTTGACTGCCTTCTTTGCTTGTTTCAAACTACAAAATGTAAAGGATTGGTTCATATGTAGAAATCTGAATAATGTTTCATATATTTAATATATCATGTCCTGTCCTGGCACTGGCAGAATGGATTTTCTCTGAATTAATCACATTTCTCTCACCCATACAAGCATATACTCCCTGCTCTAATAACAAAGGATACTGTTTTTGGTCACCCACAATTTTAAGATCAGTTTAGATTTAAAAATCCTCTGGTGTGCAGCAGACAATATTCAACTGCT